CATGAATGGAATTGCAGGGTCTGCTCTGAGTCCAAAAGGTAGGTGGGCCAGGGTAGCCTAATTGAGCCACGGACTCTGGCCTGCTAGCCACCGCCCCCAGAACCAGCAAGCTGCTCTGAATGCTAGGGCCTTCAATGGGGCAGCCACTGGCTTTTGGAAAGGAACAGGCTAGTCAGCTTTATTCCAGAGCATGGAGGAAGTTAAGGATTAAAAAGGCACTGAGAGCCCCACCGGTGTTGCTCAGTGGTTAGAGCTCCGGCCAAGTGGGAGGCAACCAGTCGATGTGGGTGTGTCCCTCTCCCCCTCCCTCCCTTCTACTCTGTCTGAAGAGCAATGGAGAAAATATCCAACCAAGGCGCTGAGAAAAGAACTTGGAGGGGCCTTGTGAAGTAGTTCTGCAGCCGGAAGGCCACCCGCACCCGTATCCTCCTGGCTGGGTCATCTGTGCATCCCTCTGTCCTTCCCCCTTCCCCTCCTCCCTCTCCCCCAGCCCTGTCCATCTGCATTAACACATCAGCGGAGCCGTCTCTGTGCTGGTGCTTGGGGTAGGGGAGAGTTTGGGCAACTCACACACCTAGTGGTAGCAACAGTAGGAACTTGAAAATTCCGTTTGTTTGCACAGTCACTTCCCCAACTTATACATTCATGTTTTTGTAATATTAGGCATCCCTTTGTCATCTGCTTACCACTCTCTGCCTCCATGTGTAACTGACTTCCCTAGAGAGAGCTATAATTAATAGCTTAGAAACCAGAACTTTAAAAACAGACCTAGTTGAAAATTATTGCACCTAGTTTTGACACCCCCACCCCTCCCCTCTTCTACACTCCTTTTTGTGGTTAGAGGTATCCTTTATATCAAATTTATGAATAGTTTGAATAAGATTTTTCCTCCCCCTCAATTATATGCAGACACATGTCTTTCCAACCAACAGAACCACAGCTGACTTTCCTAGACTTACCTCATTCTTGGGTCCAACCCCAAAGTCAGGCCTTCAGGGCTACAGCAATTTGAGCTTTGAACTTTTTAATTATATTTTAAGAAATGAAGCTCTTGCTTGCTCATTTTGTCATCTGCTAATATAGGAGAATCTAAAGTTAGACTAAAACATTTACTGCCTTATTAACTCTTTATGCTTCTTTCTTTTTATAAACATCTTTTTATTGATTTCAGAATGGAAGGGAGAGGGAGGGAAACATTAGTGATGAGAGAGAATCATTGATTCGCTGCCTCCTGCAGGCCCCCTGCTGGGGATCGAGCTCACAACCTGGGCATGTGTCCTGACAGGGAATTGAACCATGACCTCCTGGTTCACAGGTCAACACTGAGCCACGCTGTTCAGCTCTTTATGCTTCTTAGGTGAATGAAGCAGTTGCATTAAGGTAGAGAAAAATTATTAAAGTTATAGTAGAAATGTATGGGAGCTCAGAGATAATAATAAAGGGAAACCAGCTTGTAGAAATAAATTGTTAAGCTTTAAACATGGTTACTAAAACGTGGAGAGATAAATAGGAACTTTCAGAGTCGTATAGACAAGTATAGAATTTTGACAAGTATAGATTGATGAGTATAGAAATTTTGATCCATCATTGCATTGAAATGCACTAATAATTATGACCATCCATTATGCTTCTATAATGCTTTATCGTATAAATAGGCAACCATCTCTGTGATCTTGTTCAATCCTTCCAGCAAGTCTGGGACCTTCTGAGAGATGGGGAAACAGGACCACAGGGTGTTTAAAAGACTTCCCCTGGAATTCATGTATTTTGAGCCTAGATATTCCTGCTACAGTGGCTTGATAATCAAATATACTTAATATTTATTTGAGCCTGGCCGGAGTAGCTCAGTGGTTGAGCATTGACCTATGCACCACGAGGTTGCTGGTTCGATTCCCAGTCACGGCACATGTTCCTCGTGGAACAGCGAACAGTGGTGTGTGATGATCTTTACGTGGTGCACACTAGTAGGATGTGGCCTTGCCTGCTCTTTAAGACAGGCACTCATTTTATTGGTATGTGTCTGACACATGCTGGTTGTTAATGTTTTAACTATCACTCTTGGCCTAAGGTTGTTTAGTGGGAAGTGTAATATGAGACCATAAGCTCAATATTTACTTACCTGGTTTGCCAGCCCTGTTCTTGGTCCGGGTCAACAGCATGCTGGCCTGACCGCATTTTGGACTTGGCTCTTCAGCAGCCCCAGAAGCCCAGGAGACCGCCGGAGACCCAGTTCTGTGAGTGAGGAATGGTACAGCTGCTCCCGGGGGCAGGTAGGGGGCCCGAGGCAGAAGGCCAGACAGCCATAGTTCTTGAGTCTGCCGTAGCCGGAACCTCCTTGACATGAAGGTCACTGGGAAACCATGTTGATTGGCGTGGGTTTCGTAAACTGGTCCTGGAAAGGGAGGTCCTTCCTCCTCAGAACTCGCCCTCGCTTGTTCCGTGTGTCCTACAAAGACACTCGCGATGGCAGCCCGCCCAGCTCACCCCTGCCATCGCAGAGCTGGCACAGAGCCTCGGCGCTGGGCTGAGGACTAGCGAGACCTCCCGTGATCGCTGCCTCAGGTCGCTGCTCTGCCTTGGGAGTGTGGTTAGACCACCGTCTGCTCGGCGTGGAGTGCTTCAGACGAATAAGAGAGCAGTCAGATCAGAAACCTGATCAGCATGTCTCTTAATGGGGAGCCTGCTTATTTTTATTCGTGTTTAATCTACTGGACTTTGAAGTCAATGAGGCTTTGTCTTTTTTTTTTAATACTTACCCCACACTTGGAAAATAAAGAAATGGCAAATCGGCCCTGGCCGATGTGGCTCGATTGGTTGGAGCATCTTCCGTACATTAAAAGGTGGTGGGTTTGATTCCCAGTCAGGGTAGATACCCAGGTTGCAGGTTCGATTCCCGGTTAGAGCGTGGGGGAGACAACCACTGATGTTTCTCTCTCCCTTCCTCTCTCTAACATCAAATTTTTAAAAATCTTTTAAAAAATGGCAAATAATGCCATACATTTAAAGAGAAAAAAAACCACGTTTATTCCTATGAAAGCATAATTGAATTAAAAGGAGGGAAACCTTTTCTCTAGTTGCCAAACAGTTCCCAGGTGCTCTGACCTCTGGTCTCGGTTGCCTCTTGATTTCCCAGACAGGTCATCTTTTGTCGCCAATTTGTCTCCATCAAAGTCCCTAATGGAAACACAGACCTGAATGATCAAAGCGTGGACATTTATGGTCAAAGGTCATGGCATGAATAGTTGTTGGTTGTTTTGTGGTGTGTGTGTGTGTGTGTGTGTGTGTGTGTTTTATATTACTCTGTCTTCTAAGTGAAAAATTAGTGTATCTTCTTTGAAATAGAAATTATATTTTAGACCAGCGGTTCTCAACCTGTGGTCGCAACCCCTTTGGGGGTCGAACGACCCTTTCACGGGGGTCGCCTAAGACCATCGGAAAACACATATATAATTACATATTGTTTTGTGATTAATCACTATGCTTTAATTATGTTCAATTTGTAACAATGAAAATACATCTTGCATATCAGATATTTACATGACGATTCATAACAGTAGAAAAATTACAGTTAGGAAGTAGCCATGAAAATAATTTTATGGTTGGGGGTCATCACAACATGAGAAACCGTATTAAAGGGTCATGGCATTAGGAAGGTTGAGAACCACTGTTTTAGATGATGGCTAATGTCAGCAAGCAAGATCTAATCAAGGCTGCCTCATCCTCTGTTCACATAATTTCTAAGTTAATGGTATGTGATTTTTTTTTCTCCTCTTCTTCTCCTTGCTCTAATGACTGCTGCATCAGTCTACGTTGTTCTTCATATTCCACAAATGAGTGAGATCATGTGGTATTTGACTGCTGATTATTTTGAAACAGCTGCATTAATGGATGGTGTTTAACAGCTCGATGTACAGTGAGTAAGCGCAGTTGGCTTGACTGAGCGTAGCACATTCTTTTCACTTGCTCTTTAGCTTGAGGAGTGTTTGTTTGCTGTGTGTGCAGAATGCCGGAAAGGGAGTTGGGAACTCCTTGCCTCTGCCCGCCCACCACCCAATGCTCACACTTCCCGGGGACGATGTGTGTCCTCACGGTATCCAGTTCCTACTGCATTAGGATTGTACACTCAGGGGCCTGCCCCCCCGCTACCCCCAGCTTGACTGGGAGCTCCTGGAGGGCAGGGGCCACCCCAGCTCATCTCTCTGTCTTCAATCCTTAGCACAAGGACTGGCATGAATAGGCCTTGATAAAGGTTGGGTGAATGAATGAGCGATTGCCACGCAGTTAGGATTGTGTTTGGCTTCAAGTAACGGAAGCCCTGCCTCAGTGGCTTAAGCAAGTCATGGTTTATGTTTCTCGTGTGATAAGAAGTCTGAAGGTGGGTGGTTGCTGGCATTGGTTTCAACAGCTGATGTCTGTCTGGGCTGGCGCTTCTGTTATTGCCTCGGCCTTTCCTTCCGATGGCAGAGTGACTGCAGCAGGAAGGAGGCTCCAGCCACAGTGGTTGGTGCCTTTTATCAGGAAAGCAGACATTTTCCTCAAGACACCCAGCGGACTGCCCCTGACGTTTCATGGCCAGAACTGTCACATGGCCATTCCTAATTAAAAGGGCCATGTGCGTATTTAGCCACATGGTTGTAGGCACATTGCTGCGCAGAATTGTTAGGTAGACTCACTGCTGAAAAGCAGCCCCAAAATGCTTAATGGGTCAAACATGATAGACATTTCCTTTTTGTTCACGTCAAGTTCAAAATGGCTGTTCCTTCCAGAGGTGAATGAGGGACCCAGGCTCTCAAGGCTGCCATGCTCCTTTGCATTAATCAGCACAAGAGGAAGGCATGTGGAGGATGGTGCGGGGGAGGAGTTACGGACCGGGCGTGGAGTGGTGAATTATTCCATTAACCAGTGCTCCGTCACATGGTCACACCTCCTGCATCAGCGGCTGTGAAAGGTGGCCCAGCCCTGTGCTTAGGAGAAAGAGGATCTGAGTTTCATGATTAGCTGGCAATCTCTGTTACACCATTCTCCCCACCCCCAAATCAGGATTCTCTTAGCCAGGAGGAAGAAATGAATACTGATGGGCAAATGGGTGCCTGTCCTAGAAGGAAATGCTGTGCTAAGTAAGTAGGCTCCGGCCAAAAACAGGCTTTATTCCCAGATCATCTGTCCTCAATCCCTGCTTCTGTTCCCACTTTTGGGAACTGGGCCAGCAGGACAACGGAAGGTCCTCACGATCCCCATTTCTTGAACCAGGGCATGCATGTTCTTCACCGCTTTGTGGGAATGCGTTCCAATCGATGTCCCTCAGCAGCTGTAGATGACCCCAGAAAAACAAAAAACGGTCTCCGGCACCCCCAAGGCCAGAGGAGCCCCTGAGAGCGCCCAGCCTGTGAGAGCTCCTTGCTTTTAAGTCTGCAAATGCCCCTACTCACCCAGCCTTCCTGAGTTTCTCCTGCTCGTCAGCCTGGCCCCAGCCCACATCTGGGTGCAGGGTACAGAGGTCCAGAGGTGAGGTCACAGCAAACAGTGACCTCTGCTTCCCACTCAAATTCATTGACAAATATTTGCCCAACTGCTTCCTGTTGTTTTTCCCCAGTAGCATTAATGAATGATCCGTTGACCTATTGGGTTTGAATGATGTGTTCTTATTCAGTTTGTTGTAGGTTTCTGTGACAGCTTCCTTCTGGGTGCCCTTCTTTCCTCCCTTCCTTCCCACACACCCCTGCTGAGCACCTGCTGTTGACTCAGCTCTGTGTCCACCCAGCCCTGGGGGAGGCAAGCAAAGAAGCTGACTCGAGCCTGTGGTGTTGGTGAGGGTTGTGGGAGGGCTGTGGTTGCTCAGTGTTGAGGAACTCACCCAGCCTCAGGGTCAGGGAGGACTTCCCGGGGGAGGTGGCATTTGAACTGAGTTTAAGGATGAGCAGGAGTTAACCAGATCAAAAAGGCATCTGGGCCAAGAGCGTGAAATGGACACAGACTCTGAGTTATGAGAAGGGGAATGTGGGGTTACAGGGAGCAGCTTCCCGGAGTCGGGCTGCTACGGGGTGCTCATTCACTCATTTTAGACGGTGCTGAACAAGGCAGGTAAGGTACCAGCCAAAAGGGCGCTCGGGATCTGGGGCTCGAAGGGCGACGAGGCTGCAGGGGAAGTTCGCCAGGATCTGAGGAGCCCTTGGCTGCTGTCCTAACAATGCTCCAAAGAGTTTGCTGTTGGAGGCTGAGTAGGATCTGGGGCCCATTTCTTGTGCCATCACCTCTCTTGCCCTGCCCCCTCTGTCTCCGATTCTCATCTGGTCCTTTGCCCAGGCATTACTCAGGCTGTATAAATAGAGGCTGGCATCAGAACACCAGCATGTAGTTGGTGGGGAAAGCTGAAACTGTCATTACATAGCACGGTACGTGCCAGCAAGTTTTTTGATGGAGTGCTTTCTTGGAACCCCAAGGACGGTTCTGAAGTTGGCTTACAATTTATTTTTTCCTTTCAACTCATACCAATAATTCTGACCACTCGGCTCAGAACATGTGCTGCCCGTGCCCATTACCCACCCCGTGAGCGCATTGGAATGAACCTTTAACGCTGAAACCCACCAGGTGAGGGCTTGCCTTGCCATGGGCCCACTGGTTGGAGGGGCCAGGTCACCTGCATGAGGGCCCCTAGGTGCTGCCCTGCAGTCGTGAGGGTTCCCTGTCAGTGAGTTGAGGGCTATAGCCTGCACTGCCTGAGCTGCCTGAGAAGGGACGGCCGCAGTTTTACTCCTTCTCCTTGAGGACTTGAAACTGAGAGGGTTTCTAAGAGCCGGCAGCAGCATTTATTGTGATGAGTGGCCACAGGGTGATTGCCTTCATTCTCTGTGCCCTGCCCTGTTTATTAGTGTGGAATTGACAGTGCTAGGGGCAGGGCAAAGCGGTGGGGGGGATGGGAGGGGCGGTGCAGAGAGAGGACCATGGGGCTAGTCTAAGTAGGGCCAGTGCTAATTGTAGGGCACTTTGTTTCTGGGTAGAAAACTTTTAGACCTCTAGTGTTTGGTGGGTGCCTCCTTGGTACGAAGGGCTGCAGGGAATGCACAATAATAAATTACTACTTTGATATTGTGATTTATAGTAAGATTATATGTGTGTGTGTGTGTGTGTGTGTGTGTGTGTGTGTATACTTTGTCCCTGTTTCTGGAACAGAGCTTCAAAAACCCTTGGGATTCCTGTGATTGAGAGCAATAATGGTGTAATTTATGTTAATGAGGTGACTTTGAGCAAGGCATCAAGGATGGGCCTGGTT